TCTCTCTCCCTTTCTCTTTTTGTTTCTCCTACAGTGCTGTGGATCTAACCTAAGTCCAGGGCAAGCACTCTACTCCTGAGCTACTAACCTTTATTGCCAGTTACAGTGCCAAAATAAATCAATACACTTTGGGAGCGAAGCTGCAAGTGGTTCTCTGAATCTTCTGGTATCAGTAGATGGTCTTGATGGTAATTGTTTTCCTTACTGCTCCAAGGTTTTTTCCATTTCCGAGTTTGAGGCTGGCTTCCAGGTAATAGACATTGGCTGAAGTTTGACAGAAAAGAGGGTTGGGCATTAGCAAAAGTGTACTCACTGAACCCTTTTAGAGAAATGTTTCAAAATAGCACTGATGTACAGAAAATCTATACCTATATACAGATATGCTTTCTAAAAATACTCTCTCTGGCTGTATCCATATTACTTGCATTTGAACTTAGCAAATGTCTAAAGAATAAATGAAGGGGCCGGGGAAATAGTTCAGTAGAATAAGCGCTTGCCTGGCAAGTTCAGGGGCCTGAGTTCAATCCCCGGTTCCACCAAAAAAAATTAAAATTTTTTTTTAAGAATTAAAAAAAAAATAAATGAAGCCAGGCGTGATCGTGCACCTCTGTAATCCTAGCAAATGGAAGGCTGAGGAAGGAGGATTGCCATAAATTGAAGGCCAGCCTGGGCTACATAGAAAGTTTAAGGCCAGCCTGAATTATACTGCAAGACCTTGTCAGAGAGAGAGGGACGGAGGAAGGGAGGGAGAGAGAGAAAAGATGAAAAACAGTAAGGGTAGCTTTCTGGGCTGGAAGATAGCTTGTTGGCATAAACACCTGCCTTGTGAGCACAAGGTCCCAAGTTCCATCCCTGGTACTGCACACTGCAATGGTCCTGCCTGTAATCCCAGCACTCTGGAAGTGGAGACAAGAGCATTGCTGTGAGTTCAAGGACAGCCCAGGGAAGCTACAAAACTGAACACAGGGCCAGCTCGAACTGCATAACAAGACACTGTACCAATATTATATTTTTAAAAATCTGAATTCTAATTAGGCTTGAGATTTAGGGAACAGTTGGGTCCCATTTTTTCCATGAAATGAGTATGTTACATATTGCATTTGAGATTGAGATCCAGGCAATTATAAAGGACAAAAAGATTTGTTTTTAGGACAAAAAGATTTAATAAAATACATTTACCTCACAGAGTTAAGAGCCAATCAATTACAGTGTGAAAATATACAACAACCTGCCAAGGGCTGGGAATATAAGGTGATTGATATGGGGTCAGCAACTGTGACCCTTCAGGAGTGGAGGTGGTCAACTAGGTAAGGCAGGTCTGGCTTTGCACCTATCCTCCTTCACCTATATTATAGCCTGTCTGCTGGTATTGCTCCGCCTCCCCAAGGAATTAGGGAATTTGCGTTTTAAGGAAGACTTTCTTTACTTTTCCACACTTTTTTTTTTTTTTTTTGTCTTTCTGAGACAGAGTCTCTGTTGTAGTTTGTGTCTTGTTGTCCCCCCAAAGCCTCATGCAATCATGGGGCTGACTTCTACACTTTGTGACCAAATCATGATCCACTGGGATTATGAGTGTGAGT